GTGATCTAGTATTCATTTCTACTTGCTGACTTCATTCCATGAAATGGTTTCTGCTATAGTTTTATCAGTGTAATTGTTGCCTGTATTACTGTTTTATTAGCTCAAAAACTATTAATAATGATTTCATGTGTTATTACAGAATTTACATAAAATAGTATGAGACAATTATCCCTGTTATACGAAATCTAATGGTATCTGCATAAAACTGGAGCTCAACCAGCTGTTACATATACCTGTTCAGGTGCATGCATCAGTTTCAACGAGATCGTCACATTCAAAGACAGCGATAGAGTGGAGGAAGTTGGACTGACTTAATTCGAGGTTTTTTCCTTTAATCGAAATAAGATATTGTATATACCGTATCAGCTTTGACAGGTGAAGTGTGGAATTAAGAAAGCAATCGTAGAGTAAGGAATCTGGCGTCCTATAGCTGCTGGGTTATTTTGATATTGTTAATATTCAGATCAAATAATTAAACAGTAATTTGATATTGATGCAATTAATGTATTTTATATTGATGCCAAGACCAATTTCAGCAATAATGACGAGTCCCCTGGGAAGTGTAAAGGAACTTTCTCTCCGGGAGATAATCAAGGAAATATGACTGATCTCCTGCAAATATTGCCGGGAAATGATGTGACATATTAATTGATCTGTCGTGTTTAGAGGTCATATCGAGTGACTCAATTAGTGTAGGAAACATTTGAAGACGTTCAAATCATACCTTAAATAAATGTAATGTACGTCTTACAAACAGCAGTAACCACATTAAATATACAAACATGTCTGTAGACAAATACCAATAAATGGATATCATATACGCAATGCTGTCCACGGGCAAGTAATGACCAGCTAAATCATGTCAACATGTCCATACACAAAATTAACAGATCGATATCATATATACAGCCATATCAATGGACAAGAAACAATAACCTGATATAATATATACAGCCATATCAATGGACAAGTAACAATAACACAATATCATATATACAGCCATATCAATGGACAAGTAACAATAACACAATATCATATATACATCCATATCAATGGACAAGTAACAATAACCCGATATCATATATACAACCATAGCCATGGACAAGTAACAATAACACAATATCATATATACAGCCATATCAATGGACAAGTAACAATAACACAATATCATATATGTACAGCCATAGCCATGGACAAGTAACAATAACACAATATCATATATGTACAGCCATAGCCATGGACAAGTAACAATAACACAATATCATATATATACAGCCATAGCCATGGACAAGTAACAATAACACAATATCATATATATAAAGCCATAGCCATGGACAAGTAACAATAACCCGATATAATATATACAGCCATATCAATGGACAAGTAACAATAACACGATATCATATATACAGCCATATCAATGGACAAGTAACAAATACCCGATATCATATATACAGCCATATCAATGGACAAGTAACAATACCCCGATATAATATATACAGCCATATCAATGGACAAGCAACAATAACACGATATCATATATACAGCCATATCAATGGACACGTAACAATAACCCGTTATCATATATACAGCCATATCAATGGACAAGAAACAATAACCCGTTATCATATATACAGCCATATCAATGGACAAGGAATAATAACCCGATATCATATATACAACCATATCAATGGACAAGTAATAATAACCCGATATCATATATACAGCCATATCAATGGACAAGTAATAATAACCCGATATCATATATACAACCATATCAATGGACAAGTAACAATAACACAATATCATATATACAGCCATAGCCATGGACAAGTAACAATAACCCGATAACATATATACAGCCATATCAATGGACAAGTAACAATACCCCGATATAATATATACAGCCATATCAATGGACAAGTAACAATAACCCGATATAATATATACAGCCATAGCCATGGATAAGTAACAATAACCCAATATAATATATACAGCCATATAATATACAACCATAATCATACACATTTAACAATAACCCGATATAATATACCATATAAATTAACAATAACCCGGTTCAATAAACAACCATATGCAAACACATTTAACAATAACCCGATATAATATACAACCATATTCATACAAATTTAAAAATGACCCAGTTTAAAAAAATAAAAATATATACGAATATTTTTCAATAACCCAACATTATATATAAACATATTCAAACACAATTAACAGTAACCCAATATGCTATTCAACCAAATCTACAATGTATACACATTTAACAATAACCCGATATAATATCCAACCGTGCCCATAGACATTGACAATAACACAATATAAAAATACAACCACATCCATATAATATTAATCATATTCAATATTATATACAGCTTTACCCATAATGAAGGACCAATAACCCGATATGATATACAACCCTGACCATGGCAAGTAATAACTATATGTAATAAACTGAGTCTAGGACAAGTAATAACTTTTTGTAATAAACTGAGTCTAACACAAGTAATAACTATATGTAATAAACTGAGTCTAACACAAGTAATAACTATATGTATTAAACTGAGTCTAACACAACTTATAACTATATGTAATAAACTGAGTCTAACACAATTAATAACTATATGTAATAAACTGAGTCTAACACAAGTAATAACTATATGTAATAAACTGAGTCTAAGACAAGTAATAACTTTATGTAATATACGCCTGAGTCTAACACAAGTAATAAGTAGATGTGTTATACGCCGGAGTCTAACACAAGTAATAAGTAGATGTGTTATACGCCTGAGTCTAACACAAGTAATAAGTAGATGTATTATACGCCGGAGTCTAACACAAGTAATAAATGTTAGGAGACAAAACAAAGAGTACGTCCTATCAGTAGACAATTTATGAGTGATGCTGCTTTTATAAGTGAGGAAGAAAACATTTTGCGAATGTAACTGATCTCAAAATTACAACCCCTATAGCTGATTTTACGATCAAGTGATTCTTTATGATCTCAAATATGTTTCATTGCCGCAGACACTACTATGTGTCTAGCCCTTGGAGGATTTGACTGGCAAATACTAATATTTAAAAGGTCATCGCTACATATTTTACGATCATGATTGTATCTAGTCAACGAATTAATACGCCTCTCACTCAAATAGTTACCACAAAATAATTGTTACTGGATATTCAATCGATGCGTTTGTTATTGCCAGTGACGGCGTAACCTCTCATATCAAGTCCCTGTCTACCTCCAAATGTTTTAGGTAGAACAGGTGAAATCTTTTGGTTCGACATGGACTTGAACTATTTGTGTCATGAATATCGGTGATGTTTACTAATGAATGACATTTACAAGTGTTGCAATAATAAATTCTCATGAATAAACGCGAAATTATTTGTTTTGCTATATTCACCTGAGTATTTTCGAAGGAGACATAATGTTTGACTTTCTAAATATTAATTATGAAATTGACATACGATGTAATTTTATAATATCGATCGTTTCAGGCGCTTATACTATTTTTTTTAAATCAGTTAAAACAGTCTAACAACGAACAACTTCTTAAAAAATGTATTGATATATTTTAATTGTTATAATTAAATCGATTTTGTTCTTTAACGTGAAATTTATTTGTATTGTTGTCTTTAAAGGAATTCAAAATTTCGATGAGTTCTTCTTTAAATATAAGTATAAGTTAAGCACAGATACGTTATGGCTTTAACGAAAGAAAAAAGCGTTACAACTTCAATGTGCCCGGATCTTACCTAAGCCGTAGCCTCCAAGTTAATTCATTGATAAAGTTTATATGTACGAGTACGTTTGGTAGCATTCGTTTCTCGTTACATTTGATCTCTCATCATCAAAACATTAAACACAGTTAAGTTACCTTTGTCAGATTTAAATCTGTACTTTTTATGACAAATCCTCGACACAGTTTTTACGTCGAATCAGAATATAATACATAGTATACAGGCTTAAATCAAATGAAAATAATGAAGTTTGATTACATTCCTTTTTAATATGTGTTAAATATTCCCGGTTGATCCGTCCTGGAGATACAGTACCTCGCGTCTTACATCCTACGACCTCCTAACACTAACGTCGCCGCGCGGAACCCCGGCAGGGAACGTACCCAACACGACTGTTAGGTCATCGCAACGTTTATCATTTCACAGATATTGTCTTTTGATCTTTTGAAATTGCTGACTTGCATGCGTCAAGAGAATAGTAGGTTTCGTAAAGTGTATTTTTTTGTTTAACATTATGCCAACGTAACGGACTTAAACGTACTCTTACAGATGCCTCTATCATAGAAATGGCTTCAGTCTACATGGCTCTGTCGATTTCTGAGGTTATGTCTTATTTGTTCTAATATCTAATGATATCAGTCTGGTGAAATAAAACGTTCAAACATTCTTAAAATAAATAATTACTAAAGAAACTTATTTAAAATCCCCGTTAACATATACATCGCTGTGAAATTCCGTTTAAATAGTTATGTTTTGTTTCATAAAACACATAATTCTATTATCATTTTAATTTTGTTTTAGCGATGATGTTAAATGATATGTCTAAACATGCATAACTTCAACAAAAAAAAGTTGTACGAATATTCCATTCCAATTAAATAAGATCACGAATCAAAATTACAGATTATCAGTTTGAATACCCCTAAAAGAGTCGCTAATTTAAGTGATTTGAGATCAAACGTATGAAAAGTAGAGTAGCAACGTATTAATGATATATAATCAATTGAAACTAGTGAATAATCATTGAATAATGTGTATATACCAGGCAAATGTGAGAAAACGCTAAGAGGAAAAACTATAGTCAATATGTTGTATCAAAATTTCTATCAGGAAATCTCAGCCAGCCTTACTAAAATCTAAACGTCTCTTTGATATGACAATTAATTTTGAAAGCAGAAAAATATAATATTGATACGAAAAGTATAAAAAGTGAAATATAACTTCATTCTTACCTGCACATCGGGATCTGTGATGTCGGATGACTCTGGGATGAATTGAGACATAGGTGCAGCGGTGGATAGCTTCTCTCCTATCAAAGTTAGTGAAATGAAAATGGCAAATATCGTGTTCAAGAGAGCCCCCATCATGTTGTCAATGGGTTCCTGAGTCTGTTGTCAGATGTGTCTCCTACAGTGTTCCTTGGGCAGTTCGGGAGTGGTGTGTGCTCAGTACTGTTATATAGTGCTTCTAATTGGTGCAGAGCCTACGTAGGCCTGTGTAAGTTCTGGCCAATCGACAGTGAATTACAAGTCATTAACACTATCTCACATGTAATTAATAGTCCCAGATCGCTTTGTTAAAACGTACATGCAATTTCTCTCTGTCAATTAATAAATATCGATGCTTTATGAAAGATATATCGTTAAGCCAGAGCTAAGGTCTGAGCTGTGAGGGAAGTTACGGTGATAATGACAGAGAGGTGGGACGGCGTCATATGTTTAGCGAGGTGGCCACATCAGTGGAAGTGTCAACTACCGCAATGCTCACGATCTACTGACACAACAGTCAGACGGCCAATTACAGTCAAACTCACCTTATATCGACACACCAGTGGGGCATCATCTACAAGCATACTATACTCCCATCCCAAGTCATAGCATAAATCACAATCATAATCCCTTCCTACTAACACACAAGTCATAGCATGAATAACAGTCATACTTCCTTCCTACTAACACACAAGTCATAGCATGAATCACAGTCATACTCCCATCCTAATAACACACAAGTCACAGCATAAATCACAGTCATATTCCCATCCTACTAACACACAAGTCACAGCATAAAACACAGTCATACTCCCATCCTACTAACCCACAAGTCACAGCATAAATCACAATCATACTCCCATCCTACTAACACCCACGTCATAGCATTAATCACAGTCATAATCCCATCCTACTAGAACAGACGTCATAGCATGAATCACAGTCATGCTCCCATCCTAATAACACACAAGTCACAGCATAAATCGCAGTCATATTCCCATCCTACTAACACCCAAGTCACAGCATAAATCACAGTAATACTCCCATCCTACTAACACACAAGTCACAGCATAAATCACAGTCATACTCCCATCCTACTAACACAGATGTCATAGCATGAATCACAGTCATAATCCCATCCTACTAGAACACACGTCATAGCATGAATCACAGTCATATTCCCATCCTACTAACACACAAGTCACAGCATAAATCACAGTCATACTCCGATCCCTCTAACGCACAAGTCATAGCATGAATAACAGTCATACTCACGATCTACCGATACACAAGTCATAGCATGAATCACAGTCATATTACCATCCTACTAACACACAAGTCACAGCACAAATCACAGTCATACTCCGATTCTACTAACACACACGTCATAGCATGAATCACAGTCATACTCCCATCCTACTAACACACAAGTCACAGCATAAATCACAGTCATACTCCGATCCTACTAACGCACAAGTCATAGCATGAATAACAGTCATACTCCCATCCTACTAGAACACAAGTCACAGCATAAATCACAGTTATACTCCCATCCTACTAACACACAGGTCATAGCATAAATCACAGTTATACTCACGATCTACCGATACACAAGTCCCATCCTACTAACACACAAGTCATAGCATGAATCACAGTCATACTCCCATTCTTCTAACATACCAGTCATAGCATAAATCACAGTCATACTCCCATCCTACTTAAACACAAGTCATAGCATAAATCACAGTCATACTCCCATCCTACTAATATACAAGTCATAGCATAAATCACCGTCATACTCCCATCCTACTAACACACACGTTATAGCATGAACCACAGGCATACTCCCATCCTACTAACACACAAGTCACAGCATAAATCACAGTCATAGTCCCATCCTACTAACACACAAGTCACAGCATAAATCACAGTCGTACTCCCATCCTACTAACACACAAGTCATAGCATAAATCACAGTCATACTCCCTCCCATCCTACTAACACACAAGTCACAGCATAAATCACAGTCATACTCCCATCCTACTAGCCCACACGTCATAGCATGAATCACAGTCATACTCCCATCCTACTAACACACAAGTCATAGCATACTCCCATCCTACTAACACACAAGTCACAGCATAAATCACAGTTATACTCCCATTCTACTAACACACAAGTCACAGCATGAATCACAGTCATACTCCCATCCTACTAACACACAAGTCATAGCATGAATCACAGTCATACACCCATCCTACTAGCACACACGTCATAGCATGAATCACAGTCATACTCCCATCCTACTAACACACACGTCATAGCATGAATCACTGTCATACTTCCTTCCTACTAACACACAAATCATAGCATGAACCACAGTCATACTCCGATCCTACTAACACACACGTCATAGCATGAATCACTGTCATACTCCCTTCCTACTAACACACACGTCATAGCATGAATCACTGTCATACTCCCTTCCTACTAACACACACGTCATAGCATGAACCACAGTCATACTCCCTTCCTACTAACACACAAGTCATAGCATGAACCACAGTCATACTCCCATCCTACTAACACACACGTCATAGCATGAATCACAGTCATGCTCCCATCCTACTTACACACAAGTCACAGCATAAATCACAGTCAAACTCCCATCCTACTAACACACAAGTCACAGCATAAATCACAGTCATACTCATGATCTACCGATACACAAGTCATAACGTCAATAACAGTCATACTAACGATATACCGACACGACAGTTATAACGCCAATCACAGTCATACTCATTGTCTACCAACACGCCATTTATAACGCCATTCACAGTCATACTCATGCTAAACCGGCACATGCTTTCGGTACTACATGTCAAAGTCTCCACTCAGCCTACATTATCTAGGTTACAATACAAAACAGGTAAAAGGATGAAGTAAACTGTGTCTAATTGAATGTACATTGTTGTACAATATACAAATTATATACATGTATATATATATAAACACCTGGAAAATGTTTAGAAATACTGTTGTATAAAGCATATAAGGTTTAGTCAATTTTACATACTAAAATAATGAAATTGAATCAATGGTAAATGTTTCAACACATATTGTTGATCACTGGGAAAAAAATGCTAACGTCAGCAAATTGGCAGAACGCTTTATGCATATACAATTTACAACGTCACGTGATCGTGTCATGTTTTATAGACTGTAAATATGATTAAATAAATAAAATATATCAGAGCTATATAGAGAGAACAAAATATAAATTAATATTTTAAACTGATCGCGTTAGTTGAGTATCTCTAACATTAACCGTCGTTACGTAGACCTGGACTTCTGTGGCCAATAAATACTAAGGTATAGAGCTCGGGGTTCTATTATTTTGTATTTATTAGCTATTTTATAAGTCCAGACAACGGTGACATCCCATTTTAAACAAATAACTCCGTCTGTGATGTAAGTTCGGAAGGTGACATAATAAACAAGAGGCCCATTGGGCCTGCATCGCTCACCTGGTATTAATCTCACACTTGGAATCTTAAAAGTGGACTAAAATACAGCTACAGGCAGAATATCAGTGTTTGATTCATAAGAACATATTAAAATATTTAAACATATGACGCCTGTGACATTGAATGTTGACCAAGGACATTCGGTTGAACAGAGTGTATAGTCGTCCAACCTAGCATGCTTCTGGCAAAATATCATTAGCCTGGACCTTTTGGTTATCATTTAAAGATTTAAACATAGATTGTCCACTGTGACCTTGAATATGGGAGAAGGTCATTCATTTGAACAAACTTGCTAGTCCTTCATCCAAGCATGTTAATGGCCAAATATTCAGAAGTTGTTTAAAGGTTTTAAACATATTTCACCCCTGTGACCTTGAATATAGGTAAAGGTCATTTATTTGAACAAACTTAGTAGCCCTTCATCCAAGTTTGCTTCTGGCTAATTAACATGACCCTAGGCCTTTTGGTTATTGAGAAGACGTTATTTAAAGTAAAATAGTGACGCGGGACGACGGACGCCGCGCCACGGCATAAGCTCACTTATCCTTCGGGCAGGTGAGCTAAAAATATAATCAATGTAACAACAGACTGCTTTTGGTTAAAGTCTTTACCTTCATAAAACTTTTTTTCATCGATGTGAAAGGTTTCGATTTAAATCACCTACATGTTAGTGTCGCAACTAATGACCAAAATAAAGTCCAAATATTTTCAGAGGGCAATAACTTATAAATAGCTTGAAAAGAAAAAAAATAACCTTTTTTTCATTCACAATTATTAAATGTTATATCAACTATTCGTTTATCATTAAATGCCAATGATTTTTGTTTAAATAAAAAGAAAGTGAAGTTAAATCTATACTGAGTTATGTAAATGTTAACAATAAGGTTCTCGAGAGTTGCATGCCCAGAATTACAGAAAAAAAATGTTATGAGAAAAAAAAACTCTTGAGAGGTTGGAATCACTACTGTTACATAAGCACGGTTTCTACTGGAGAGAGATTAAATAAACATCTGTATTGACCTCATGTAGAGTTTGACATTTTTGGCTATTTCTGCTTTACCTTACTTCACTCCGAAACACCATAACGATGAACATCGTTTACTTGTCTACAACAAAACGAATGATTACAAGACGATATATAGGCACTTCTACACAAATGTGTTTGTTTCTCGTCTCAGATTTTTTTATTTTTTTTATTATTGATTTATTTCCAATTCAACAGACCCAAGGGTCCACTAACAGAATGGATAACAACATTACAACACAAGTATAAAATATCACAGTCAGTTATGCATGTAACACAGACTAGAAGATACTCATATGTAAAACATAAGGAATTAGTGATAGCAAATATTCTTTAACCGTACTTTGAACTCAGCGAGAGAGGAACAAAACATATCACAGTCTGGTGCAAAAACAAGATAGTTAAAATTACTTTGAATCCTGTTTAAAATAGTATACTTTCTAACGTTTATTCTACTTCTCTGGCAGTAAAACTGGTTAAAACGAATTGATCGTAGATTACGACCAGGGACTAAAAAACACATTTGCTTGACTAAATATGGATAATCAAAAGCACTATTAACACATTTGTAAAGAATACACAGTCTAAAAATGCCCGCCTATGTTCGAGGCTAGGAAGATT